ATCTGTGACTTTTTTTGGGTTCCGAGTTCGCGTCTTCGGAAAATAGTGCCGGAAGTGGAAGTGTGTGTGACAGGTTGCTGCGTAGTTTCGCTTCGGCTCTTATTTTGTCGAAATAGGGACTGCTGATAAGAATTTTTCTACTTAATTCGATAGAATGATCTCTTGGCTATTAGAATCATTAATTTTTTTTGGATTTCGAGTTTGCGTTTTCGAGAAATAGTGCCGGAAGTGGAAGTATGTGTGACTGGTTGCGTCGTAGTGTCGCGTCGGCTCTTATCTTGTCGAAGTAGGGACTGCTGATAAGATTTTTTGAACTTAATTCGATAAAATGATCTCTTATCTAACAGAATCAGTTATTTTTTTTGGATTCCGAGTTCGCTTCTTCGAAAAATAGTGCCGAAAGTGGATGTGTGTGTGACAGGTTACTACGCACTTTCCCGTCGGTTCTTATCTTTGCCATATAGGGACAGCTGATAAGAATTTTTTGAATTAACTTGTTAAAAAGATCTCTTATGATCGCTTGGCTAATAGAATCAGTAATTTTTTTTGGATTTCGAGTTTGCGTTTTCGAGAAATAGTGCCGAACGTGGAAGTGGGTGTGTCAGGTTGCTGCGTAGTTTCGCGTCGGCTCTTATCTTGTCGAAATAGGGACTGCTGATAAGAATTTTTCTACTTATTTCGATAAAATGATCTCTTAGCTAACAGAATCTGTGACTTTTTTTGGGTTCCGAGTTCGCGTCTTCGGAAAATAGTGCCGGAAGTGGAAGTGTGTGTGACAGGTTGCTGCGTAGTTTCGCGTCGGCTCTTATCACTTCTAAATAGGGACAGCTGATAAGAATTTTTCTAATTAATTCCATAGAATGATCTCTTGGCTAATAGAATCAGTAATTTTTTTTGGATTTCGAGTTTGCGTTTTCGAGAAATAGTGCCGAACGTGGAAGTGGGTGTGTCAGGTTGCTGCGTAGTTTCGCGTCGGCTCTTATCTTGTCGAAATAGGGACTGCTGATAAGAATTTTTCTACTTAATTCGATAAAATGATCTCTTAGCTAACAGAATCTGTGACTTTTTTTGGGTTCCGAGTTCGCGTCTTCGGAAAATAGTGCCGGAAGTGGAAGTGTGTGTGACAGGATGCTGCGTAGTTCTGCGTCGGCTCTTATCTTGTCGAAATAGGGACTGCCGATAAGAAGTTTTCTACTTAATTCGATAGAATGATCTCTTGGCTAATAGAATCATTAATTTTTTTTGGATTTCGAGTTTGCGTTTTCGAGAAATAGTGCCGGAAGTGGAAGTGTGTGTGACTGGTTGCGTCGTAGTGTCGCGTCGGCTCTTATCTTGGCGAAATAGGGACTGCTGATAAGAATTTTTCCAATTAATTCGATAGAATAATCTCTTTGCTAATAGAATCAGTTACTTTTTTTGGATGGCGAGTTCGCGTTTACGAGATATAGTGCCGAACGTGGAAGTGGGTGTGTCAGGTTGCTGCGTAGTTTCGCGTCGGCTCTTATCTTGTCGAAATAGGGACTGCTGATAAGAATTTTTCTACTTAATTCGATAGAATGATCTCTTAGCTAACAGAATCAGTGACTTTTTTTGGGTTCCGAGCTCGCGTCTTCGGAAAATAGTGCCGGAAGTGGAAGTGTGTGTGACAGGTTACTGCGTAGTTTCGCGTCGGCTCTTATCTTGTCGAAATAGGGACTGCTGATAAGAATTTTTCTACTTAGTTCGATAAAATGGTCTCTTAGCTAACAGAATCAGTGATTTTTTTTTGAATCCGATTTCGCGTCTTCGTAAAATAGTGCCGAAAGTGGAAGTTCGTGTGACAGGTTACTACGCGGTGTCCCGTCGGATCTTATCACTTCTAAATAGGGACAGCTGATAAGAATTTTTCTAACTAATTCGATAGAATGATCTCTTGGCTAATAGAATCAGTTACTTTTTTTGGATGGCGAGTTCGCGTTTTCGAGAAATAGTTCCGAACGTGGAAGTAGGTGTGTCAGGTTGCTGCGTATTTCTGCGACGGCTCTTATCTTGACGAAATAGGGACTGCTGATAAGAATTTTCCTATTCATCTCTTTAGAGTAGTTCCTTTTCTAATGGAATCAGTTGTTTTTTTCTAATTTTGATGACGCGTTTTCGTAAAATAGTGCCGAAAGTGGACGCGTGTGACTGGTCGTACTACGTCATCTCTTGTGGGTTAGCTCTCTGAAATTTAGATCTTTGATTTTGATTTTTCATTATGCCTGGATAGAACAGACTCTTCTCTAATAGAATCAGTCTTTTTTTTCGATTTTCTCCGTTTTTTTTCTAAATAAAGTGCCGAAAGTAGACGCGTGTGAATCCGTGGTTTCTTTTCGATTTCCGCTTTTTTTTTTTAAATACTGTGCCGAAAGTGATAGAGTGTGTCAGGTCGTTCTGTGTTGTTATCTCTCGTGACTTAGATTTTCTAAACTTCGATTTTTAATTGGTATTCTTCGCTATCACTTGATAAAATAAACTGTTCTCTAATTTCTTGGCCGATTATTTTCTAGAAATGCGATAAATATTGCGGAAAAACGTGGACGGCATTATTGTGTCCATTGAGGTGTGTGTGCATCATAGAAAAGAATTTGGTTGCTTTAACAGAACCTTCAGTTGTAAATAAATAGTGTAAGGTATAAGCCATTCTTTTTGTATCTTTTGTTAGTGACAGCAGAACCTGGCTCTGTAAGGAATATATTCTTTTGAAATATACCGGCATGTGCAGTAGGTGAAAAATATGGTAGGAATTATTTTTTATGGTAAGGAAGGATTGATGCAGTAATATATATATGTAAGTTACAATGTGTGTTTTGGATTCTAGGTTGACTAGCCATATGACATGCAGGACAGATATATTTGTTGGTGATAAAGGCGTTGTGAAAGGGTGATGAGCTTGACAGATACAGAGGTATAGAGAATACAGTGAGATTGAAAGGTATGTTGTGCTCCTGTTCTGAATAAATATTGATATCTGCAGTCAACGTCAATGACCAGCACTAATGTGTTAAGTTTCAGAAAAATGAAGTTGAAATATATAAGGAGAAGTTCAATCAAAAGCATTGAGAAAAGAAAATGCATACTGTGTGGATCATAAAGCAAATGAGGAAACATATGGGTCAACAAAGAAAGGTGTCTAGCATCGATGACTAAGTCATGCAAATATAAGGATCATTGAAGAGATGGAAAATAAATAATTAGTAATAGTTATGAAAGGTAAAGATAAATTCAATATAGAATTTAAATTGCAGTGAGTCAAAAATCTGGAGAAATATCTATAGAAACTTGAAAACTATGAAAGCAGCGATATTAATGTGGATGTGGCACATCGACTTGATTTGACCCATAAAACCAATGTCAGGAGGTAAAAGGTAGGTCTTAACTGCTGATGATTCTTCGAGAGTGATTATTGTCTTGTTTGTACAGGAAAACGGTCAAACAGCTGAGGAAATAAAAAGATTGGCGGCATTAAAAGAAAATCAATCTGTCAAGAAGTTAAAAAGTGTTTACATGTTCAGGCAATGAAGGTGAGTTTGTGGGACAATGCTTTCAGGTTTGGTTACATCAAAAAGAAATAAAACATGATTTGATTCCAGCCAAGATACCACAGTGCAATGGAGTTATTGAGAGGAAGAACAAATGCAGCCTAGAGATGACAAAGGCACTTATGATGAATTTAGACTTCATACTTCAGGTAAGTAATGTAAGGAGAAATGTGTGCGGGTTTTACATGTTCTAAGCACAATAATAAATCAACAGGTTATGTACTGCCAACAGAATGTAGGCCATGTATTTGAATGCAGAAATCAAAATTCGAGAAGGAAATTGGAAGTATCAATGAATGAAAGGATCAAGATGGATATCATATTTAGAAATTTAGAGTGATCTTCATGCTGTAATCTCAAGGTTTGTATGAACATGCAATGAAAGAACCAAGAAATATAGAAAAGTACAAACAGGATTGGTTAACAAACAATGTGTAGGTACAAAATCTGATAGTTTCAACCAGAGGGATGATATTGTTAATTGATGTACCAACATGTACATCAAGTCATGAAATATGGGTAAAATTTGACAATATCTATGATAAGCATAAGAGCAGCAAAGATATTCCGTTACAAAGGAATTTTTCATGTATAAATATAAATTTGAACGTGATATTATAACCCACATTGCGTGTCAGACAGGTAAGTTTTCAAATTACATGCATTATGCAGTAAGATAAAAAAAACAATGCTTATAACTAAAATTTTATTTATGCTTCTAGAATGTGTATTTGCAAATGCCTGGGAGTTAATGCAAAAATAAGAAAAGAAGTTCTACAAAAGCAATGAATACAACTCATATGGAACAGTAAATTTTTAAAACAGAATTTATAATATTCATATAGTATATTTTTAACAGTATATATTATATTTTAAAAGATTGGAATGTCAAATTGATTTTATGATGTATTTTTATAAATGAATATAAAATAGGCTCTTCAACATTTCGTCGTTTTAGTTTAAATAAATATTTCTTTATTCTTTTTTTGAATTTTAACCACTATGAAGGTAATCTTATTACCTGCATACTGTATTCATAGTATTGGGAGTGATACTATCGAAACGTGTGATAAAAATGTTTTAGGTCTATTCGTTTTATCTAATATGGTAACGTTTCAAATGTTTCTTAACTAGAATGATAAAACTATTTTATACTTTTGTGATTTTTTTATTGCACACAATGATACACAATGTCAATTTCAAATAGAGATTTTATAATATATTGTATATTGTTTGTAATATAATATTACTTTTAATAGTAATAATGTAGCAATTTGATATTTCATGCTTCCTAATCATATATGTAAATCAATGTATTTATAAATTAGTGATAATACATATATTAAAACTACATTTAAATGTAAAACTTTTTTAAAATCGGGTTTGGGTATTCCTAAACTCATCAGGATATTGCATACCGAAATTAACTCTGAAGTCAGAAACAGGTAGTGCTTATTGGATGAAACGAAATTTTTTGACCGTAATGAGTTGTTTGTTTGTTAGTGTATAATACTGTTATTTATATAAGTTACGTTTTACATCTTATATTGAATTATATTGGTAAGTAAAGTTGTGGAATTTTAATCGTTGTATTTAATATTTACTTGTATTCATATAAATGTGTTATAGTGTACTACAATTTTATAACCTAACAATTTTTAATTCTAATACGTAATAAATGATTAAGGAATAACGATTGATATGTCGATTTCAGTTTTATAAAATGAACAATTCATCAGATCCTAGACGTCCAGAACGAGAAATTCGTTACAAACCCAGTGTGTTGAGCAGTCAGGCACAACCAGGCGACTATTCTTCGCCAGATTATATGAATATATTAGGAATGATCTTTAGCATGTGTGGTTTAATGATGAGATTAAAATGGTGTGCATGGGTTGCATTGTATTGTTCATGTATTAGTTTCGCAAATTCTAAAATGAGCGATGATACTAAACAAATTCTTAGTAGTTTTATGTTATCTATATCAGCAGTTGTAATGTCGTACTTGCAAAATCCACAACCCATGACTCCACCATGGGCATCTGCAATACAATAAAGAACTTCCAAAATTTCCACGTGGTTCTTTGGCTGTTAATTACTTAATAATTTCTTTCAAGATACATATTCTTGTAATATTAATAGAACCATTTTATTAATATAATTTAGTGTTCAATTTTTGATTGTGGTAGAAGAAACTATTTTTTTGGTTAAAGAAATTAAAATACAGGAAATGGAAAAAGAATTTTATCTCCATTTTTATTTTTTGAAAAGTATATTTTAATACATTAAATGAATTATTTTGTAATGTATCACTTTTTCCTAGTAATATACTACAAATGCCACTTATAATAATTCTACATATATAGTATTTATATATTATATATAGTATTTTCTATATGTCTATTACATAAGCTAAAATTAAGTGGATCAAATATATTTTTCCTATTTTTTACATAAATACAGTAATTTTAAAGTTTCAGCTATTAAAAGGATGTTAATAAAAATTATGTTTCGTAATTTATAGTTTTTTGTTATGTAATTGTAGTGGTTACATATTTTCCATTTTATGTATAATTTATATGTTTTCAGTCCCATTTTTGCATTCATTAAAGATTAATAAAAAATGTAATAGCAATTATTGTTAAATTGTATTGTGAAAGAAGATCCAAAACATGTAATAAAGTCAGTGTAAAGTGACATGGCAAAATTATACGGATGATTACAAAAGATACATCGAAACAAAATTATATTATTTTACAAAACTTTTGTTAATTCAATTAAAAGTTATACAAAAATGCATAAAAATTTCTGCATTAAATGCAACTGATGTTGAATAGGCCAATATAGCTTCTACATAGATGTTTATAAATTTCTAGCATGTAACAGTAATTAATATAAAGATTAAAATGAACAAAAATCAATATCCTTAGAAATTACTTTTAAAAACTGATATTCCTTTTGAGTGGCAAGACATTTTGAATCGTGTAAATCGTCATCCATATAACTCATTGCCTTTTTGCTAATTTCTCTATATATTTTTATATATGTGTCTTTATTTATTAGATCTTTAATATACATGTAATCAACTTTGCATCTTATTTGTCCTTTGGTTTATCATTTAGTTGGCAGAAAACTTTCTGAATCCGAAAATACTTCCTCTCATTCGAGAAACAACTGTACAAAAAGGAAAACAGAAAGTAGCATTTTCATCCTACGATAACAATTAAATATTATTCAAATTTTACTATCTACCTATTCGAGAAATTTCAGAAATTTTTACATCTCGAGTCTTCGTTTGCCGTCTTTAGACTTCAGTAAAAGATCGTATAAAAAGAGACTACACTGATATATGACCCCTTAATTTTAGAAGATTTCGCATGTTCATGGCTTAAGGGAACGATTCTAAACGATCATACTGAAGTCTGTGACATTGGCACAGACACCTAGTGATTTCTTTAAATCTATTCTGCATCTTTTCTATGGTCCCCGATCGGTCTACCATTTCGCACTTAAACGCTACTTTCTCCTCGACCAACCAGTGTGATTGGATACACGTATTTCTTGCGTTTCGCGTTAAAGAAAGGCGAACTGTGTTGCCCGTGCGTAGGTGTTGGTGATAGTCCACGCAGAAGAGGTAACGAAGCATCACCCGGCATTCCCGTTACATCAAATTTCTTTTTCCACTCGGCCCCTAAATCCGTGGCTGGTGCCATTAAACCTTTACACTCAGGGGAACTTCTCACGCTGAGGAACACGTCGTTACTGCTATCACGTTGTCCAGAAGAACTCTGTGAAAAAGGACACCGTAATTTTTAGCAATTTTTAGAATACAAACTTACATAACCTATAAAACATTATATTATACAGATGTTTGTTTTAGCACCTTCGCTTCAAAAAAGTCCAAGCTGGATCCATTTGTCTCGTGTCCCTCGACGGGGAAGCCTGATTGCACTCGATTTGACGTTTGCGACGTCCTAGATGAATGGGAAGAGGTATGCGATGAGGAATTTTCGGACAAGTCATCCCTGCAGCATGCAGCCGTGCACACTCTTTGCTCTCTGTAATTTTCAACAAATATTACACCGATTACAGTAACGTTTTGAAAATTAGTCATTCTTCTTACTAATTTCTTAAATTGACTTTGTTAAGCAGATCATGTATATCATCTACTTAAGATATCAAGCATACTCTAGCATATATGGGGTCCCATGTCATCTTTCACTCCATCTAATTCACACTCAGTGAAAGAAAAAGATAGCTGTGATTTCCAGGAAAATCTATCACGTCTCAAATTTGGCTCCCTCTCCATTTCTAACTTCCACTAGTCACCAAGGTAATTGAAATAGAATAGTACTGTATTTCATCTTATGCAAAATAGCACTGGTTTTCTCCACTTAGAAAAGAAAATTTACTACCTCCGGACGATGACAGAGTCCCGTCTCCTCGGTACTGGCGGCGGAAGACCAGCGGTTAAGCTTTTGGCGCTTTCGTAACTCGCCTCGCTGTTGCCGCTGCTAGTGTTACTGCCGTTGTTCCCTTCCCTCAGGAAGTAGTTCTTCGCCGAAAGCATAGCGAAGTGAAGGTTGTTCTTCAAGTCGTCCGCCGCCGTTGACAAGTTTCCCGAGATCTTTGGTGTGCGCCTCATCGGCCTCGGTGGTGGTATCGGCGATGGTGGACTGCTCGACGCCTCCGACAGTGTTTCTGGGGTGGCCAACGGTGCTGTTCGCGAGCTCTCGTCCCACTCGTTTCGGCGATTGGATCTTTGCATTAAAGAATACATTTAACACAGTTCTCAAAATATGTGAAGTATAAACTGTAGCTAAAGAGTAACATTTCGCCGTCATAGACAACATAGAGAGTCTCTCTGTCGAGTAGATTGCAAAAGCAAAGTATTTCTCTTCAGCTGCGATTCTTTGGATGAAACGTTTCTCCGTTCGATGGTCTGATGGAGTGCAATGAGTATTTATGTGCGCGACTGCCGAAGCGGTGAACACTGTGAGTCGTGAATCAAGCGAATGTGAACGAGAGCGTGACATATGAAATTCTTAGAACATCTATGAAATGATATTTTAAGATTAAAAATGTATCGAGAATGAACCGTATTAGATCGGATGGAAAAGTACTAACGAAGAATTGCATGTACGACCCGAAACTTAAGATATCAATTTCCTGTCTCAAATGTAAGTATTCGCATAGACATTCGATAGTAGTAATACAGTGCAAGTCGCACATAGAATATTCCGTATATTATCCTATCCATTGCCCGTATATTTGTTACCTCTAAAGCAACCAATTTATAACATCGTTATTTCGCAGCGCTCTCCTTCCTGGCCTTACAATCCTCATCGTAAACCTAACAATCGGCATCGATTCAACGTCGGTCCTCTGTCACAGACCTCCAGACGTAAAATTGCTATTCTTACGATTTACTCTCGTCGGCCCTGGGCGTGTGAAGCAATTCGCTGGCCAGACTGACGTACTCCCATGGAATCCCTCTGGAATCGACGCTCAGCTCGCGGCCAGCTTGAGGAAACTCCGAGGGACTTTGCAGGGACGTGAAGCTCGTCTCCAGACAGAGTTTATGCGGCGGAGTCCCAGCCAGGTTGCTGGGATGCGACTTAACGGGGCTGGACGACGAAAGCAATGCTCTCATTTCCTGCTCGATCTCCATCTCCTGGATCTCGACGGGTTCGCGTGCCTCAGACGCCTCCGTCGAGGATGCATGACCGGAAGCCAGTCTCTGCGGCTTCGCTGGTCCCAGGGTTGTTACAACCTGACATATCCACACGCGTGTTTCCAATGTAATCGTTTCACGTACCCGACCAAACATTCTTTTGTAACAATTCCGTGTTACTCCGCGATGTGACAGTCAAAAACGAAGTGACAGTAGGGTCTTATCGTGATTCAAGAAGCAAAAAATTTTGTTTGAATCGATATAATGATGGGTATGACATCATGATAGATGATAATGCGTATTGATTTCTGATTGTCGTTTTGGAAAAACAAGAGATTCGATTTGCTAGATGAGATTTATCTATTTTATTGTACTCGGGAATTTTTAAGTCGCGGAATTCCTGTCGTATTTTCGCATTGAAGATCGATTGAGTGTGAAGATACAAATTGGCATTCAAATTCATTTTCTTTGCTTCTCTGTTTCCTTTGCATATTTTAAAATTTAAGGTATAGGTTTCTGGGTTTGGGTCTCGTTTGTTCAATTTGTGCTAATGCTCGAGGAGTTATTGCAAACTTGTGATCAAGTAATATCGCAAAAATTGTTTCATCGATGAGGATACTCGAGATAAGGTTCCGCGACAACGTTGGTACATGCGAGAAATGGCACAGGAGCAGGTAACGCGAACGTCGAGTTTGAAGATCGTTTTGGGAGAGTAACTTACTTACTGTAATATTTTTCGACTCTTCTTTACGTTCTTACAGAAATATTTTTCAATTCGATAAATCGCTCTTCTGCACACGAAGCATGTAACCTGCGTTCTCTAGGCATATTCAAAACGATTTCGGTGTAAAAGAATTGGAAGCATTGCTAAACGTACCGCAGTTATTTCGCGATGCAGTTAATGCTGCGGAAAGTAAACGTGAATCGCAAATTTTCGTTTGAATTTTCGCTATATTAGGTTATATATATGTTCTGCATATATATAATTTTCACTGACATGAAAATTCGCGGTAGATGTTTATGAAAGATTTAACAGGGATAAAGATGTTTCCGACTAAATTAATCAAATATTCAGATTATTTTGTAAAATTCGCTCGCGTATATCAATATTATTTTTGAAGCGAATTTTGTCTCTTTATACGAGATAAAAGATAAAAAAGAAAGCAATAAATTTATGATATAATATGGAGATGAATTTTCGTCCTATGCAGTGACGTTTTTCTGGCATGAAAGGGAATTATAATAACAGGAAAGAACGCGTTTAAATATTGAACACTTCCTCGCGTTATTCTGCATGCTGTCGACGTACGTCGGTGATCAACTTAATTATTACAAACTTAAAACATCAAATATACTATGATCATATGATAAACTAGATACGTGGGTGCACATGCATGAACGACTGAGTGAAAAGTGGCATTCAAGTGATCAACGATTAATTCTCTGCTCTAAACCGCTCATCTACGTTTTTATCGTTCCGACACTGCTGTTATGTCTTTTTTTTTTGCATGTCGTTCAACGATCTTGCGTGTAAAACTAGTCTCTAAGTTATCTTAAGATACGTATATACGTCTATCGAGTTTTGAAAGCAACTGTATCTCGAGTGAACGTGTTAATGAACGGTGAATATGATATCTAAAAATCGTGATCGTGTATAATCGCATGCGATAACATAATCAAAGACGATCTTGCAGATTGGGACTGCAATGTTGACAATAATCGAGATGTCCGTTTGTTGAAATTTTTTGGTCGCTGTAGATTAGACTGTCACTTTTAACACCTTTATATGAAACGGATATATAGAATATACCTTACAGTGATTATGAAAATGGTTAAGTCATGTTTGTTCCAAAATATTCAAAATATTTATAAGTATATTATAAACTGAAAGAAGTCAAGTAGAAATAATCTTAAAATAATGCAACGCAAAGCATTTCTGACTTAAACCATCTCCATGGTTACTAGTAGGTATAATTAAACGTGAATAAACTTTATTTCATATAAGGTGTCACAATTATAATCGAATGTAAGTAGATTTTATTCCTTACAACGTGTCAAAAAGAATGTGTTAAAAGCTGAACAAATTTTATTCGGTATTCTAAAGTAAATATCTATATGAACTACACTTAATTATATTTTGTCCAGCTAGCAACACAGGTATTTCCGTAACACCGTACACCATAGCAAACTTCTGAAACATCCTTCGCTAAGTAAACGATTCTTTGAATATATAGAACAACGGAAGGAAGGCAACACGAAGATTACATCTAGCAAACATCTTTGAGCAACAGTGAACGTCTCCAAGCAGTTACCAGAAAAACAGCCACATCTTCAGCGACCTCCAATCTGAACCGGTGATACCATTTCGTTATATCTCTCTTTGTATACTTTAAGAATCTACCATAATTTTCAATTTATTTCAGTGCGATCAGACTTGCCAACGTGTCTCTGTCAACGTAAACATCTATTAGTAACGGAAAGAGGACTATTCATTCTCGATAATTCGGTAATGGTATCACCGGTGTGTGGTAGCCCAGATACACACTCCCGATGAAGCCGAAAGACGTCAATGTACCTTGTGCCGTGGCGAGAAGAGTGTGTGGTGACATAGACGTCGGCGTCGCGGCCGTGAGAGCTCGTCGGTGTACTTTGATGATGGAGTACGACGTGTCGTTGTTCAGGTGTCCGTTGGGTTGCTGTGTCCGTCGCAACTGTTGCACGCGTTGCTGCATCTCCGTCTGCAGCGCCGCGATCTCTGCACGCTGACACCTAATCCACACACCACACACCCTCAGCCACACATCCTCTCGTGAGGTCGTTGGTTATCAGTCGCCACGATTCGAGGGGACAACTTTTTCGCATTTGACCAATTTGGAATGCAACACCTAGTCTAATGCTATGTAGTTGGGAAATCGGTTAATCGTTTACGCTATGGGGATGGCGATATAGGCGAGGTCCAAGTCGAGAAAGAATTTATGGCAGTTCCGAAAGCACGAAATTAAGTAAGTTCGTTTGGGCTCCTTCGTTCTTTCTCGTTCTTTGGTGTTGAGATTGCAACTAATTTAGATAATACGTGACTCGTGGGGTAGATTTGGTAAGCTACTTTTTAGATTTGAAAATTAGGAATTCTTGGTATGTCTACTTTGCTAATTTGATTCGTTCCGTGCCACGTGATCCGCTTTGCTTCATTTCGAAGTTTCTGTTTGGGGTGTCAAAGTATTTTTCGATTATTTTGAGCAAAAATTTCAGCTTTCTGTGGTATATCTTAAATCTTAGTTTTGTCTAATAGTAGTACTTTTAATATTAAACATTTCTGTTTTCCTTTAAAGATTGTTTAAGCGTTGCTACTTTTTCAAAACTAATAGAATTATTTGTTTTGTAACAAGACTCTGACAGGAATGTTTGACAGGGAACGTCCATAAAGTTAGATTTGTAGACAGTGTCCATGAACAATTTATTAAAATTCTTGTTACTTATCCGAAATCAATTGATCGGTCAACACCATCGAGGTTCAATTCGAGCCAAGTTCAGTCGTGTTAATTATCGTTGTAAAATCATCTGTGACGAAATTTCTCGTAGGCTTTGAGTAGTCAATTAATTTTGGATTAATTTTGGATAATCGGCTACGTACTAAGCTGCAGGAAAATCGACGTTTCACTACCATGCAAAGCGAGAACAGATGGATCACCATTTCTTTGTGATTGCAGCCGATGCTGAAATATTAGCGTGATCTGGAAGAATGTGAAATTAGAGAAACAATCGATTCGAGACGCAAAGCGAATATTAATAGCACGTCAGCGAAAGATCGAACGGAATAAATATATAATGGCGAGTTAAACAAAAGTTTTCTTTGCTCGTGTATTATCCACGTGACACCCAATTTAAGTTAAATGATAGTAAGGTGTAATTTCGCAATTTGGAAAAATACTAATGACATAAATCATCGTACTTGCCTTTAACATTAACATTTACTTTCAAATGCTTCAGGCATAGAATTAGGAAGCGAAACTTAATAAATAAATAAATAACAACGTTTTCGTGGTATAAAGTATATTGATCAAAGTAGCGTACATTGAAAATTATACAGACTCAAGTTGTTACAATGTACAATCAAAACGACTATTGAAAGATAAGTTTGAAGTAACGTGTTTGTTCGATTTATGTAATAAAATTACATTTTGTACGATTATTGGCATACTTAATCGCTGAATTAAGTTGATCGTTGCACTGATTTTCTTTACGTACAATTAGTACGTAAGAATCTTTAGTCGTTTTGAGTGCAATCGATTCGAGTAAAAATTTAAAATAAAAGTAAAAAGAGGATGAAAATAATCAAAAGGAACGAAAGATCTACAGAATTATGCGGAAAGCTACAAATATAATCGTTTGCAGATGTTACAGTAACTCATGCAGTGTCGAAGAACATGCGTGTCAACTACTTAATCGATTCGAACGAAAGAAAAAGAAAAAAAAAAAGATAAGAAATAGAAATACTCGATAGAGTAACTTCTCAATCAACTATTATTACATTGTACAAATATTATTGCTTGAATATTACGCTACGCGCTAAAAAAGTAATAGAAAAACAAATTATTCTACAAACTAAGTATACTTCTTAAATATAAACGAACATACCTAAAATGAAATAAAAACAGCGGTAGTACTACGATGATAATAAAAAACACTATCCTATTTGAGAAAAACTACAACCATCTCAGTTATAGTTTTACGTATTGCAATAAATAACCGTGTACAGGAACATTACGCAAGTTGAATAAAATTCGCTTCGACATCAAATCTTGCAATTCTTTCGTCGGTCAGACGATAAAATTCGTTCAAAATTGTCAGCTTCTAACAAATAGGTTTTATCATCAAAAATATATGCAAGAGTAATATTGCTGAGTGAATTGTTATTGAATTAACAGTTTCATCGCGAGAAGAAGAGTCTATGATACTCCTGTCGCTACTAATACCCACATTAATAGTCCGACGAATAATTTTCACGAAGAATATTTTACAAAACCGTACAACGTCTATTGTCATACGAGTACTCTCACAGCGAGGATATGAAAAATAGCTCATAGCTAAAAGAGCTAGGAAAATATAAAATTCCAATATTACTCGATATCCTCTTATCCAGAGCGACTGTACACAATGTGAATATTAGCAATGAAAGGGTCAATTTCACTATGAAAGAGTCCAGACTACGTCTCCTTTTGTTCGTGTACCTCGACATTGACCACAATCGTCTCGTTACACGGTCTCATGACGCTATTAATACTTTCAGCTTGCACACTATTAACATCGCCATCTTTCACGTGTCCATTACTCTCTACACTGACTACTACGTCTCGAGGCTTGTCCTCTTCCTTCGACACTTCCGGTTCGTCCGTCGTTTCCTCCAAGATCTCGTAATTACCCGGCTTTACCGAGGACATTCGGCTAACCGGCGTTTGCGAGCTCTTTATCTCACGTATTATCGAATCGGCCTCGCTTACCTTGTTCAACGCTTTCAGCATATTGTCCGGCATATGGTCCTGTATCATCACCGGGCTTATCAACACCTCGTCGAAGTCGCATGGACCCGCCCAGAGAGCTTGGTACACCGGCTCGTGCTTGTGTAACATTTGTCTGCAATGCGAGAGAAGAATTCAAGGATAAACGATGCAGTTCCCCTACGAAAGGAACTCTTTGGAAAATAAATTCTAGGAAACGCTAGTCGCTACGTGTGGATTCATGCAATCAAATGCATTCGCGGATTTAAATATCCGAGATAATATGAACCAAGTATAGAGTGATCGTTTATCAAGCGTCGAGATCCGATCGCCATCGTAATTCGAGAGTTCGAGTTTTAAAAACAATCGCACCGTTCATCTCGTCAAACGATTATTCCATACGTGAAATGCACGATCGCTACGTATCACGCAGTGTAACATCTTGTACAATGTTTCTACGTGTAAATCTGAGCCATGCAAACACGAATATAAGACTTCAGTTGCTTGCACGAGAGTTTCTCTGTCAGGCGACAGTCGGAATGTGCGATGTAGTAGTTCGAAAGGAAGAAAGTGTAGAACACGAGTCCAAGGTACACATGCGGGTACATCCTCAAGATGCAATTACCCAGGGAAACCCTGAAAAGGCAAACTTTTCGATAAACGTACCTCCAGCGGCTCTCATACTTCTGCCTAGAAACGGAAAACATCCTCGATTAAAATTCACTCTTAATCCACCTACGAGCTATGAAACCTACGAGCATCACGTCGCAACGCATTGCGTCTAAACGACACGGGTGAAAATCGGCGATAGATGGACAGGCGAACTTACTCTCCTTTGTTGGGATGATGTCGGACAACGTGTATGATTCGGCCAGGCGGATACAGAGGCCTGTGCAATGTCAACGCGATGCTGGAGTCGCTTGGAACAACGGTCTGCGAACGGGCTAGGTCCTTGTCCCTTTGGTACTCGCTGATACATCCACCAGCTTCCAAATTCGCAGCCGAGGTAGGGGTGGAACCGCAACCGCAACACATCACCGAGCACGCTATCGTTTTCCACTGAAACGATCGTTGCGATTGATCGCCTTACTCTTTGCTGACTGTGCGAGAGCATTCATCGCCCTTGTTGCTAGATTCTAACGCGTTTTGCGGGTACCGTTAAATCGCTGAAACATCGTTTTTCTACGGTTTCAAATTAGCTGAATGTACCTCGTGATTTTCACTCTCCGAATGACCCAAACGGTTGTAGATCGGGTGAGAGAAGAGGCGATTCAGTTGACGTGAATATACGAGTCAAATTTTTAGCAGAGTCATAATAAAACTGTTAGAACATCGGTATCGAAGTCACGAATGAGATGAAACGATATTCGCCTAACCTTTTTACGAGTTTAATCCAGAAAATACCGCAAAAACTGCTGAAGCTATAAACGTAGTATTGGGAGAAGCTTATGTAAATGTTGGTCTAGATCATAGGTGTTCTGGTCGAAACAAGATAGGAGATACAATCCAAGTTTGCTGCGATTTGTCGCTGATTACTATACGTAAATGATATTTCATGCACGGATCTAGCGTATATTTTGCAGGCTATCGTTACGTTGTAAATTGAAAAATTTCAATTTCGCGTAGGTCTGTGGTCAACTTATCCGATGTGAGTAGATAAATGTAATACAGACTTTCACGAGGTATGTCGAGGTATATAGATATATAGGAAGATCGTAATAGGAAGGATATATTTGAAGAATTAAGGTGTCAGCTTAAAATTAGATGAAATAATGTTACGACCATTTCGAAATGAGATGGTGGAATAGGGCAACTGATATCGAAGTTTTATGCTAGTTTCAAGCTCTGTATCCTTATTGCAGTTCTACGTCTTCCATCTGCTCCGTAACAAAGGATGTACCTTCGGATCGACGCTCCTTTTTATAGCATTGATAAGATCGGCTCTCAAGCTCTCCATCTGTCTGAGGCCTATCCTAGGCACGACATCTTTCCCGACTACCACGGATGTAATAAATTCCTGCGAGTATTGCTGAGCAGGCATACTCAAGAGACCACCCGGTGGAGCGAACGAAAAGCACACCAGGTCAGGGTAGTCCTGCTTAAGCAGAATCGCTAAGATGGCCGCTGTCCCTGCTCCCAGGGAATGGCCAACGAGTGCCAGACCGAACTGATGGGTTTCCCTCGAGGTATCCTGGAACAGAAACTTGAATTATTTCCAACTCCGGCGATTTTTACCATCGACTGGTTGTATCGTAACAATTGCCAAGCGCAGACATTTAATCGAGGACGTTGCTGCGAAAAGCGAATCGCGTAAATCGCGTCGAAGGTTAGAGTTCCGACGGAGATCGAGTGTATACGAGTAAACGGGAAGATTTCCATTCATTTGTCCATTTAAATAAATTTAAATTTATCAACACACGCAGCAGATAGCTTCCTCTGTGTTTTCTGATACTGCAGATTGGTCAAGGCTGAACAACTTCGTGAAATTCAAAAGTTGCTTGCTGGGGACTCGTGTCATAAAACGAGGATAAATATAAATCGGTATTTGAAAGTGTAATACATCGATGGCAATGAAATTCGAAGCTAACTAGAAAGTGGATTCAAAATGACGCGGAATCACGTCAACGGCGATGAATATAGTAGCAGTAGCTTATATTCATTCAAAAATAACGCGTAGACCTTTCGGAAACGTCCTCGATTACTAGAATTACTTAGCACGTGCGTTTTTAAATATCAAGCGAGAGTATAATATGAATAAAACGAGCAACTAACGAAGGAATAGTATGCAATGTAACTTTTCATGTATTTAATGCGTTATCTCCCTCAGTTGACGTTATTCACGACGCGAAATAGGCAACGAGCACGATAATGAAATGTAATTATTGCGTTCAACAAGTTGATATACACGGAAAGCAAGCACGGCATTTGCATTTAAGCGAACGATAACGGGGAATAATACCTTAGCAAGCGCCCTGGATATAATATCCTCTTCGAGCAGCTTTTTTCGAATATATTCGGCCGCTTGGACCATCCCCTTGTGTCCCAACCAGTCGTCTCTCGGCGGTGACAATGGTAACACTTCACCCTCCGCGTTCAAGTCTGTTAATACATCCTTCATGCTGAGGGTTCCTCGTATACTCACGACAACCTTGAAAAGAGGCAGCAGAAAATTGGTAATTAACCGTCCTCAAGTTCGCTCGAGTTCGGGGTAAAGCGACCTTTAAACCCTATCTTAGCAATCGGGGATTAAAGTCTTCTATAGAATTTTAACCAGAGGTATATTTAACAAACTATTGGTTTTTAATCATTTCGATCCACTTCCTTTACCACGTTAAAATCCTCCAGTTCCCTTTCACGCGTTATATATTTTCAAATCGAAGAAAAGGATAGGAAAAATGCGATTCAATTCAATTTCGTTTCATTCGTAATCGAATATCGAATTTCATCGAGTAATCGCGGAATTATACGGAAACGTGTATTTAAATGGACGCTAAGCTCGAGGAGAATTTAACGAGGTTAAGCAAAATGGCGTAACTTATTCATTACAGATTAAACTACAATCCTGACACGATCATTCTATATACATATATACATGTAAAACAGCATTTCACGGATGTCGTCGCGATGAAGTTCGTTATGCCAGCTTAATAGCCGTTGAAAAATTCATGAAACCGCTAAGGGGAAATGGTTTATTCCGCGATCAAATTGCCAAAGCACCGGCTGAACGTGGTTCGCTTTAATCTCGAGATTCGTCGTGATTCGATCGGAATGATCGAAACAGGGATTATCGTGAACATCATCGCGAGACTTCTAAGCTACGTTCAATCTTCCCCTCTAAGTTTTCTTTGTCCCCAGAGCAAACGCGGTTCGATGCATGCGAATCAATGAGGAAACGCGCGAAACCTTTTTCTTCGTGTAATCGAGCGCGACGAAGAACGGCGTCTCACCGACGTCGACGTGAAAAGTCGCATAAATGACCTCCACCTCGGCGACGTCGACCATCTTTCTTAGCGCCGCGTAATTGCACTGGCAACAATTGTCTTCTACCACGGTAGCCCCGTCTTCGTGGCCGCCGCACGGGAAACAGCCGCATCGTAATCTGCCACAGAGTTCCGGCCAACTTATTTTCCCCGATGCTTTCACCCCAGGCAGAAATTAATCCGGGCATACAAATGCTTCCAGGCGTTTCGCGTTCCGGTTACTCGACGGTAATTGATTCGATCAAAGGCTCCCGTGCAAAAACGCGCATCTAGAACGTCTTAAATGACACTTCAAGCATCCACCATCTGTAGTACAGCGAGTTTATTCCACGAGTAGTTGGGACACGAAGTAATTTTTCTGTTATCGATTCGAACAAGTAGAATAATTAGACTTTGACGACATTTGGACTTGAATTGAAAGTAATTTGAATTGAATAAAAAATTTTCAAGAGACAGGCGTTTTAAAATATTTTAAAAAATAATCATTCTTTTTTTATTGTTACAGCGCCGAGAAAATATACCAAAATTCTACGATATCGCAGGAAATGTACATATAATCATAAAAATCAAATAAGAAGTATTTGGACACCTAAACGCGCACAAAACTCCACACCTAATCGGCACATCAAGCCTACAAGAAGTAATATCGAGTATGCGAAATTATAGATTTCAAGCAATTTTACTTCGTTCTATATTCTACTATTTTTGTAAATCTCATTTATACTCATTTTTTCGTTAACAGCAAAATCGGTAAAAATAAAAATTCGTAATTCTCCGTTGCTTGGAGGAACAATGGCGTATGGAAATCGTATGGGGAAGCGTAGAATTGCAAGGACATCGAAGGAATTTCGTAGAATTTTTCGCGGAACGCGCGTTTGCGGGATAAAGAAGCGAGAGAATTCGTTGAAAGAAAAATCCGCGCGGGGCAAACTGTAGCGGATATAATTAAAAACCGGGCGACGATCGATTAAGCGATTTTGTCGAGCAACCACGCGAAACATCGCTGAAAATCAATTGATGCCGTACCCACACAAACACGACAACGTGCGCGGCACGTTACCGATGACATTACCTTGTGCACAGCTGACAAAGACCGGTGGAATGACTAACGAGGAACATGGGCCAGCCATAAGCAGCGAGGGCGAAGTGCATGTAATGAATGGCCGACTGGAAGTGGCCCAGATCACCATCCTCGGTCAAGGACAAGAATTTAGTGCGAGGCGTAACTGGCACACCGGACAGAAACTCGTACGTATCGTTCTTTCGTTGCTTCACTATCAGCTCCCGTTCGATTTTCTGGAACTTCCTCAACAGCACCAGACCGGCCACCACGTCTGATGGAACCACGTCAAGGTCGCGGAAGAAGTCGCTCAATAGCCTCGCGATGTCCGCGAACGAGTTCTGAGGAACCAAGTTTTCATTGGAAAGGTGGATCGCTATTTTTCAAGGTTAGTGCAAAATCTTTGGTCGCGTTTGGTAAGAGAAATGACCGAAATTGTCGCGTCTAATATTTTTACCGATCACGAATGTGTTTATAGATAGATTATTTATTTTGACTAATTTCGTGTCTATTGTAACTAAATTGTGCAATAATTAAATGTGAAATATTAGCGGAGTATCGTCCCAGACACGTGTTTCATAAGACTTATATGCGTACTGATTTTTGCTCCCTGTAATGTCTCGGAGTTACAGTCATAATACAAAATAACGAAGTGGAAAATTAAAATAAGGGAAAACGCGGCCTCTGGGGCGAAATGGAAATTTTGAATCGATATAACGATAAATTAACGTTAAGATAGTCGAAGAAAGAAGGTCGATGAAATTGTAACGAGCAATGAGAAAATAATCTCTATATCCATCGATATTTTCCTTCCATCGCGTGAATCTTTTCAGTCTGTTTTAAGAAATATCCAAGTTGATAAATTTTCTTTTCGACCCACGTAACGAACCTTGGAATATCGTCTTTGTTTCTTAAATCGATTCTATTGAAATTGACGAAATGTAAGAGAGCAAATTTATTCGCAGACGCTGAGCTAGAATTTGACGCTGTTGTACAATGAATTAACAGAATCGCGTGTATCCGTGAAAATAATGGTACGGTTGATCGATGATGGAACTTCTAGATAGTCGTGTAGTACTTCTTGCTACCTTTCTTCGTTGAATAGAAATCGATAATATTGTTTAAAATGAAAGTAGGTAGAAGATCAAATCTTTTGCACCGACCTAATAAATTTCTTTCGTGGATTCGCCTCATTCCCGAGGCCACTTACTCGGTTTCTATCGGAATTGCCCATGCAGCAGAAGAGAATCCTACATCTGTTGTCCCAGCTATCCTGGTATGCTTGTATAACTTTCCTAAAAGTGCCAAATGTCCACATGGTTAATAATCATCGTTCTAATTGCGAGTGATTTCTGTATCGTAAGATCTGTGCCTCTAAGAAATTAGGAAAATTCAGCGGAAATTCGAGGAATAATTTTTTCTTCGAATAGGAATTCTTATGCGATGCTTCGAAGCACCGTCGGGATTAACTCGATGTGGCGAAAGCTCATTGCAAGCTATTTCTCGCGAGGCAACAGGGAGGATAAAGATGTCAGTAGAAACGGACAACAATAAGTCAGGCGTCGGAAGCGAAACGCGAGAGTCGTAAGTCGTTACCTTTGCCGCCAGTTTCTGTTCCTGCTACCACTCCGGTTGTAATGTAATTTAGCGCATCTCGATTCCGCTTCCCTCATGCTTCGTTGATATTTCTTCATTTTCACCCACGACCTGCCCGCGGCGTCATACGTACACCACACCGTCACCATCACCGACGCCAATACGCACCAATTTGATATCACTAAACCTGCGACGTAAGGGGTAAAATCGGGCTGTTTAGGTTAGAAGTGGAAGAACGTTCGCTCGTTTCCCGTGTTTAACGGTTCCAGCTATTACGAAGATACCGCGGGAACCACTGCGATATGTCGCAGAACGTTTCGGGAGGAATGGAATTTATTCGTTATGGAAATTGGACTAACTCGAGTTCGTATGGAATGTGGTATTTTGCGTAATATTAACATGGTACGAAATTGGACTAATACGAGTTAATATTAATATAGTATTTTGTGCAATATTAACCCTTTGCACTCGACGATTTTTTGGCTAAAGAAGAGTAGAAATACAAAGATTCTCTACTAAAAAACTGACGATACTTTTTAGAGCAGTAAATAAAGAATTGTATAATAATAGAGTCGTAGAATTATTTGATTTCGATATCTCGTACATTGTTGCAATAAAATTAAATTTGATATATTAATTAATATCGATCTTCCAAATTTTATGAAATGGTGACTGAGGGTCACACCTCTCGAGTGCTGTATATCGTCAATAGGTCGTCCGCAATTGGCAACGGTTAATGACGAACCAAATTTCTTGAGGAACGTTGTGTTTATAGTGGACTGTATTTTATGTAGTTGTTCCGGATAACTCTTCTGAACTCTTCGAATGTTATTTGCTGACTGACTGGTACTAACCTAACTAACTTGTGCGATGCACGATCTTTCGGAGCCCATGGTTTCCAAAGGGAAATCGGTTTTCCCATTGGTGGTTGACAGGACCGAGGGTGGGCCCTCGGTCCGCGAATCAGATGCCCCCAAAGAAGGGAGGACCGTCTTCCGCGACCAGGTCTGCCGGTGGAGGAAGCCTCTCCCTCAAAGGGGGTTGCTGGTGGACCACCCGCACATTCGTGATCCTTCCTGAAGGACCCGTTACTTTATGGCTCCGAAAGTCGCGACATCGCACATGGCCTGGTCCCTTTCTTTGCAGGCCTATTGTCAGCCAAATCCTAAGTGCTGTTGCCTGCTTTCTAACATTAATGGCTAAAGAAAGCCTCGTGTCCGGTGACCCGAGGGAAATAAAGAATTGTTTGAAAATGCATTGAAAATGAAGATAGAAAGGACACGGAACTTGAACTAAAACAGCAATTAGAATCTGGCTGCCAGAATACCCTAACGGTCTTTTGGGTCTATTGACGATACCTATTGACGATATACAGCACTCGAGAGGTGTGACCCTCAGTCACCATTTCATAAAATTTGGAAGATCGATATTAACCCTTTGCACTCGATGACTTTTTCGTTACAAAAAAATAGTAATACGAACACTTTCTGTCATAAAGTCGACGATATTTTTAAAATGGTAAATGAGAAATCATATGCAAATTAAGACATAGAATTATTTTTCTTCGACATTCCACACATCGTTAGGTAATTTTAAATTTGATATATTAATTAACGTCGATCTTTAGAATCTGATTAAATGGTGACTGAGAGTCACCTCTCGAGTGCAAAGAGTTAATTAATCTATCAAATTTAATTTCGAGGTATCGAAATTTAATAATTCTACAATTTTATTATTATATCATTCTTCATTTACTGCTCAAAAAAGTATCGTCAGTTTTTTAGTAGAGAATTTTTGAATTTCTACTTTTCTCTAGCCAAAAAGTCGTCGAGTGCAAAGGGTTAATACGCTTTACATTTAATTATTAATATAGCAATGAATGTAGTATTAATACAGTATCGATAAAGGATATCTCGGGCTCATAAACTACGAAATTTGTAAAATACGTGGAATGAAGCTTATTTGAAAATTTGTTTCATGCAATTTTTGCCATTGGTGGAATTTATTAGGCTTAGATTAATTATTACTTCTGCTTTTTGTTAAAGATATTTAATAGTCTTTATGAGAAGCTTACCTAACATTACATCTCTAATTTGGTCGACGGGACAGGTTTGGTAGTAATGCGTTAACCATGTTACACCTGCGCACAGCCAGCCGGTCTCAACCAATAAAAGAACTGAAACAAAGTTTTATAAAGTTCGTACTTTCGTCTATTCCTTCTATGATTTATAGTATTCCTACGAGATACAAAGAAAATAACAAAGAACAATATCGAGGTGCATCGTATCTCTCTTTCTACATAGAAATCTCTCGATCTTCTTTAATACCGTTGCATTTTTTCACGAAACGAGTGCAACTTATTCTTAATCCTGTTTCCTACCGATATATGTTAAACTGGACAGAGCAGCTTGTAATCCTTTTAACTGCTACTAACACCTTAAGTAAGGCGGTCATTGTATATAGGAACGGTTCATTTTAGTTCACGTTTCCCCACAGAAACAAACCAACGCGTGTTTTCTAAAAAATTCTACACATTCCTAACCTCTTCCTTAACGTACATGTACATGTACATGCATGACGATCCTAAAGCAAAAGAAAATCAGAGAAAAATAGAATTTGACTATCTTACAACTCTATTATATCTTATACGTCTGTAGATATTTCGTTTTGTTACTTCACACGTGTTTTTAAAGAAAATCTCCAGTTTTTCTAACTTCTTTCTTCATGCAAGTGCATGAAATTCGAAAGTAAAATAAAAATCGGAAATGGAATTTGACTCTTTATAGTTTATAGTCCACGAAGGAACACGAATTAGAAACTCAAAAGCGTCTTGTCTGGGAAAAGGTGTTGCAGTTTTATTTAATGAAATATATTTATTAAAATTAACAAAGGTTACACAATGTATGATTATATTATTTCTGTATGCAGTGAATGTGTTCTATAATGAGACTCGGACACGACTGACAGAAAATAAAAGAAAAAATAGCAATCGAATAGATGCATCGCCTCTTTCACACATAATAGTCACTCGTCACACACGCACACACGCACATACATATCGTTGCCTTCCAACAAAAGGTTTATTTCACACTGTGGTCTCTGTTTAACACGTTAAACGTCACGTCGGTTTTACGTGCCGTTTCGTTCACGTCACAGTTAGCCGACATGCAGGCCCTTCTGGGCCGTACGGACCAGCGAGGCCTGAACGAAAAGTCTAGCGCCGGTCCCTAGGGACTGTTTTGGCGTTTAACGTGTTAACTGCTCGAGTGTCTCTTAACCCTTTCGGTAAGGAGGAGTTGGCCGCGGTTATACATTCGTGGCACGAGGAAGTTTCCCACAAGAGTGGTGGCACTGGAAGCCACGAAAACGTGTTTTGCGGTATTCGTAGAAATCTCGAGCGTGATTGACACTAAACTTTTCATTCGAACCGCGATAGTCATCGGTGACGTTTCGTGGATGCCGCCAATAGGCGACGGTAGTACCTAGAGAACGTTTCGTAGATACCGTCAATAGACGACGGTAGTACCCAGAGAACGTTTCATGACCGCCGCCATTGGGCGGCAGTAGTACCGAAAGGGTTAAGAATTATTCTGATGACTCCTCGCGAGTGGAGGCTTCGTTTGGGTGCTCTTCGTTCTCATTTATAGATTATCGTTTATAGAACGATCGAGAGTTTAGGCGAACATAGAATTATCGCGATCCGTCTGTCAGCGACCGCCATGATACGTTCGTCGGTTATTTTCTTACACGTATAAATTCTACTATCCACAACTCTAGAATATTTTTAATTTCTGCAGACACTCCATTTTGTTAATTTCTATCTAAACATTCTCGTCTTTCGTATGCTTCCTTTCGTCCTTTAAATTCTCGTTTAAATTTATGGAAACGAAAACTCGCGTATTCATCGTTACGATGAATACATTTTTGGCGTTATTTGTCGGTAAGTCGCTAGCAAAGAAGAGGAGAAATATCTGGGTCATGTGAAACCGTGTCCCGCGAATGTCTGATTCTTGACCACGGACGGTCGTCATTTCTTGGATAAAAGGAGAGTACGTCAACGTGAACGGCATAACTTCACGCCGGATAAGGATTGAAGGTGTCGACAGTGCTTTCTTCGAATATCGAGTAGGGGATAGCTCGTCTACGAAAGCATACCGTGCTTCTTTGCGACATGATGACTTTTGATGGTTTCAGTGGTGCAGCAAACGCGATTGACCTAATTACTCGCTAATGCGATTGCATAACCAGACAGTGCCCAGAATTAATCTAAAGACAACGTTCTAACCAGTTAAAAAGAGGTCGATATTCTTTTCTATATACTAAGATAATTGAGGGTACATTTTAAGAGCTTGTCCTAGAAAGTTGATAAGTATAATCGCGAGGAAGCACGAGGGTATCGAGAAAGAAATTTAGTCCTGCCGGAAGTCTGGTTTCCGAGAAGAGTGAAGCGGTCTATACACTGCCATTCGATGCACTTCTGCGTTCTACTCTCCTCTAATATGTTCAGCTTGGCGATGGCGTATGGTTGTGTTGCTATTGGCTAGGTTAGGGTAGGATAGCTTCGACTTTTGCGAAGAGAGAGAGAAATATCGGATGTTACGCGATAAAATTGATAAAAGAATTTCTTTCTTAATAATAAAACAGATTTATTTAACCTCTCAGGCACGGCGGAACTTTACGCGGGGCTGTTTCTCGGTACGGCAGAGTTCAACGCGAATTACGTGTAAATGATACGGCACTGCAATGTGTGACGGACAATGCTGTTCTTTATACGAGTACATTGGAACGAAGTGTTTGATGATTAAATTATAATTTTTCATTAGTATTTATAAAAATATTTGTTTTTGGTGCGCCGTTCAGAAAGATGATATCCGCGAAAGCCACTATAGTAGTGCTCAGTGCCTAAGAAGTTAATTAACATATCACACTAGATTCTTCTCTACTCTACACGCAATCCTCTATTCTCGACTACGCACCATCTATATGCCTCGCGCCCTTGCATCCCTATTTAAAGCCAGATCTATCTCATTCTATACACGCGCTTTCTCTCTCAATCATTCTACAGCCATTCCTACAAAAGGATTTGCCGCTATCATTTGTTTCTTCCACGCCAAACACTCGAATCGAACCCGATCTTATATACAACGTTGTCATCGCCTGACGTTAAGCTGGGGCAATCCTTATCTACTCATTACATCGGATATAAAATAATTTAATCTACCACCACGTCCGTTGGACTATGATCCCTGAATCACGATATGAAACAGCAAGATCTTAGTTACGAATCAAGAACGCTGACGAAGATAAATAAAACGTAGATACAGATAATTCTAACGATAATGCGAAGTGAATCTCTGTTTTTGATGACATCACCCTGCATCGAGAACTATTTTGCTTCAAGGAAACCTAAGCTGGATGATTTTTCGAAGTTAGGCTGGACGATGCAATAAGGCTGGTGTCGTGTAAAGTAAACAGAGGCTCGAGGTCTTCTATGACGCGTGCTGCACACGATGGAGTGTGAGAAAAGTGTGTTCCTTCGAACCCTTCAGCAAGATTTTTATAGGCTCCTTGACACCAGCCCATTGCGTCATTTAACTTACAACGGGAGAGTGCAAGTCTTTTGCTTCACCGATTTAATTGAAACTTTGTAGGTTTGTAGATTTCGTCATGCAGTTCAAGAATATATACCATTATACCCGCCCATACTCGATAGCTTTTGAGATATTTACGATTAAAGTTTTATTACTTCTGTAACTACAGATTCATTTCCCATGGTTTTAAAATAGCTTGAAGAAAAATTGATAAGCTGGGTGATTCCTCGAAGCAAATATAGATCCTGATGCAGAGTGACGCCATTAAAATAAAGATTCCTCTCGCAATACTTTTGTTATTATTATTATGTGGTTCTTCTCCCTTTCCGGGGTTTTCTAGCAGCTGGACGGGACATTGCCAGGTCCAGCTCGGCTTTCAACTTATATCGTTGAGGAAATTTCTGGTGATGTTGCATGTATGTAGTATCGTTGCTTTCTGTATTTCATGGCAGATGTGTGTTGGTATCTTCAATTGCGTTAGGTGTTTTTTGAGTGTGTATGGTGTTATTCCTGTTGTTGATATTATTATTGGTATTGTATGTACTTCCTGTTGTTTCCATATTCTTTTAATTTCCTAATTTATTATTATTATTATTATTATTATTGTCTTATAAGCTAGGAATTCCGCTTCTCCCCAAAAATGACTATACGTGCAAGTTAATTAAGAATTCGAGTATCCATATATTTTTCGTGTCTCGACTATACCCTTTATATCCTCGCGTTTTACGTTCTTATTTCACTCACGATGTTCCCCGATCGAAAGTTGAAAACGGTAAACCTCGGACTCCGATTGCATCCGTGGCATTTTCACCTCGTTCCGAACCGTGTTATCTTCGAGGTCTTCCCTCGAGGTCTTCCGTCTCCGGCGTATTTCCTCAGCATTCGCGTGTGGTATAAGGCAACATCTTTATTTCAATTTCACGGCCGCGGCCGACACACATTTCCCGTTTCTCGCCACCTCGTTCCCGAGTCCAGGCGTCGAAGACGCGTCTGTCGAAATCAGACGAACGAAACGGACGGGGAAAAGGGGAAATAAAAGCAAAGCGGAGTACAAGCTGCAACGACGGTGGCCTGGCACTCCGCGCGCATCCGACCAATCAGCTGTACGTGATCGGAATTTCCATCGAATTCTTCCCAAAGGTGCACCGGATCCGGTTGAAGAACGTTGAGTTGGATCGCTTCCAAAACCGTTGATACGCGCCAGTGTGCGCGACCAGCGTTTCTCCGTGTGTTCATCGAGAACACGCGAGTGGTCTCATACGCGTGAGCGCAAAATTTACGTGCAACGCGCCAATCCATCGATAGTAATTTAATGCACGTGTCTATTAACGAACTCGCGAGAGGAAACAACGAACTGCATCGAACGCGTCGGTTTCACTACCTCTCGATCCTGGAGGCATTTAATCGATAGCCATGATGTATGCCAGGGATATACACGCATGAACATAGCGTTGGATGACCAACGATCCGTCCACTCTTAATCACTAATAGAACCTAGCTGATAAACGCAGGCAACGTCAGAGTTCAAAACAACATACTCGTTCCTACTTTGACTAACAAGAAGAATGCAAGTCCTTCGGCTCAT